TTGTAGCAAAACCCTACTGTAAACATTGTAAGGCCAGGTCTTCCAAGAGGTGGGTGAAGGGTAAAGATGACTGAGGAGGGAAGAATGCACCTAAAAAAGTCACTTCTAACCTTAGGCATAATATAAACCACTGTTAAAGGCACTGCTACTTACATATTTTCTGCACTCAATTTAGTTCTTGGTACACACCCACCAGCTCCCATTAAAATACACTGTAATTACCCTGAATGTCTGCAAACAGTAATCACGTAGCAGTGCTCAGAAATGCATGGAACAGTTAAGATTAAGAGCATGGATATTTTCCGACGATCCAAAACAGGCCCTCTGAGATACCACACAAACCCCAGATAGTTTCCCTAGCAATCCTGCAATCCTTTGTGTGCTTTGACAGAGCCAAAGTATTCCAAACATGTCAATTCACCAAGAAGCATTTGGCCTGTTCCAGAGACAGAAATCAAGGCAATCAAGTAAAGTCCAGGTGGGACACTCACCTCTGTAGCCCTCTGGTTTATTGGTTGAGCAAGCCCAGAAGAGCATCCTAGTGTTTATGAGGGTGATCACCTCAGGTATGCACAGCGTATTGCTACAGGATAAGAGACACTGTGAATGAAACTGCATTTAAAACGAAATGGTAGCTGCAACTATTTGGAAAGCTCTTCTCAAACCTACCGGCAGAATTCATCAGTATCTTGGTGGTCATCTCCATGAAGATAAACCAACAGGAAGCGCAGCTCCCGCTTAGCATCGTTCAGTGCCTTGGGCATAAGAGCAGAGAAGGTCAAGTTGTGAGGTCTTCGGGCAGTGGCACACAAGCCTCGCACAAAGCAGCTCAGTGGCATTTGCCCAGCACACTACTCTGCCAACAGTGCTGTTTTAATGAGGTGGCGATGGAGGACAAGCCTACCAGACCTCCAGACTAAACCCTCACCTTCAACAATGACCTTCAATACTCCTTTCAGACCGTGGCTTTGGAGAATGCTGAATTCTGATCAAAAGCAGGTACACCTCCACACACTGGACCCTGCAACCCTCCACCACAGTCAGCTGGCAGCATGAGCCCTCCTTGCTCCTTCAGACTCGCAGCAGGGAAGCCTTAAGTTGCTACTCTACCCTATACAGGATGCAGTCTTCAGAAAAATGAAGAAAACAACTCGGTGCTACAGGCCTGGACAAAACTTTTTTTTTTTTTTTTTTCTCCTTCCCCTTCATCTAAAATCTCTGGATTCCACCCACCCAAGAACATATCTTAACAAGACTGCAAAATGTGTACAATAGGCTCCCTGTTTAACTGGCACTACGTTTTGGTAGCCTAATCATTCCGTGGTGATTCAAGTCTAGATTCCAGGCAAGACAGTCGTGGAGGTGGCAAGAACTGTGGAGCACAGAACAGCTACAGACTCCACATTCTTCTGTGGCATTTGAGGAGTTGTGCCGACCCAGCTGCCTGCCAGGCTGCACTGCAAGAGGCCCTTCTCTTGGCTAGGCTGAAAGAAGCTGCAAAAGAGGCAGTACCTATTGGGATGTCCCTCTTTTACAGAAAACATCATCAACCAGATCTAGCATATGGGGTCCTCACCTCCCTTAACTTCCTCAGTGACTCCCACTTTAAATTTTGAGGTCCTGGGCCAAATTGTGGAGCTGCTTTACAATACCAGCCCAGGCAGTCAATTCAGAGTTGGTGAACAGAAGGACAGACTTTGGCACACCATGTCAGCTTATAAAAACAAAGGCAAGATTACACAGAATAGCTGCTGGCTACAGAGCCACACAGACGGTTGAGGAACAGTCAGAGCAGTTTTGCTTTCCAACTTTGTAGGCTTGGCATAGCACCAAGCCTGGCAGAGACACTGGTTTTCAAATACACTTGTTCACTAGATCTCCATTACCCTGTTAGAGGGTTGGGAGACAAAGACTGGGTTTTCCGATGAAAAGTGGTTTTGCCATGTAGGCCCTGATACCATTTGGCAGAATTCCCACTCTCCATCTCATCAATATCTATGCACCAACATGTGACACTGACCTGGCTGTAAGTTCCCTGGTAGAAGACAGGGTGTATCCTCCCATATTTTTCCTCAAACATATGAATAAACGAAATAATGTCACCCACTGGGTCAGTGACCCGACTACGAGGATCGGGGCGTATAAAACGCAGAGCAAACCTAGGAAGGAAGCAAAGGACACTGGAAATTCTGCTTACTATACTTTCTGAAGAACATTGTTTTCTTTTCTGTAAACAGTCACTGGCATTTACATGGAGAAGAAAAAAAGTCAACGCTGAGTCTCTTGAACTTCTGTAATTACAACCTAAACTGCCCCCTGCTCCAAACTGATACTGCTGCTAGAGAAAACCAGTCACATATCTCATGTCAGACCTCAACAAATACATGCCATTCTCTGAATACAACTGTGTGATTAACGGTTTCACCTTCTGAGGCACTAAGCACAGGCCACACCAACAATGAGGTTTGAAGAAATTCGTCAAAGACTGGCTGTTAAAAGTCAGGGTTCTGTTCAGATTAACTTTGACAACTGCATTGCTTCTTTCAGACGATTCTAGCATGTAAAGAGCAGCAGGATAAGGATTCTACTTTAGGAATCAAAAGTGAAAATAAAAAGTTGTTGCTGAACTATCAGCTGAAAAACTACCTAAGGGAGGTATCAGCCTTGGTTTGATTTTAGTTAAGCACAAAAATGTTTATATTGAACTTTGGAAAAGCCTTTAGGGAGGAGAAAAAAAACACTGACAACAGAACTGCCAAGACAATACAGATGGCAGGACTGCTGGAGACTTACACCTTTCAACTTTCCCTTTTCTCCCTATGAATTATGTAAGGGGGCAAGGCAAACTAGCCCTTCTGGGCAATCAAGGTGGAAGATGCAAAAGACATCAAAAAGAGGAAAAAAGAGATGTATTTACAGTTTAAGTTTTACCAAGTAAAATACTAAACATTTTTCTTATTTTTTGGCCTTATCTTGTCTATGCTAAAGCAAGGACTAAAACAAGTTAACACAACACCTAGCCCAATAACACAAGATTCTGAGCAAGTTATGTGTTTCTCTGAGAATATTCATAAAATTCATACTGCTTCTGTAGCCCCTTTGTCTGGCATTCACAAACCGTAAAGCCACATTGCTTTAGAATTCCAGTTATTCATATTTACAATATTTACAGAGCCATAATATAAAAAACTTTGCAGTAAGGTTCACCTCTTACTAAAGAGTACAGGAACTTCACAAGGCAACACAAAGCCATGAGAGCATATGTAAGGAAAAACAGATGTCATTAGACTCAGAGAGATGCAAGTGACAGAAGTACAGTAAACTCTAAGCTAGATTGTGCCTTCATGCAATCAGTACAAAAGGGACAGCACACAGGCAAAGGATACTTACCTAAATATATCAAGTAACGTGTAATAGGTAAATCGGAATGGAAGCATTATCAAGTAGTAACCCCATCCTAATAGACCCTGCAATTATGAACAAAGAATTAGAACAGTTTCTACTCCAGAAATAAGCCTGTTAAAACAAGTGCGTTCACCAGTGAACACACACGTAAGAGCAATCAGTCCTCTAGCCCACCATCACAAAGAGCCTTCAGCAACGTTTCATGACTTTGGACAGGCCTAATCAAATTAAAGAGACTGATGTTGTTCACTCCAAGATTTCAACAGTACATTTTTGAGAACTGGTGGCAACTTTAAAGAGGAATGGTTTTGTTCTCTGCTTTGATCTGTACAATGGAATTAATAGCCCTGAGTCTTACAGAGACTTGTGAAAATTTGTTTGTGAACTGTTAATGCAAGTAGTTTATTCTGTACTGAAGTTAACATACATTATTCTGCCATAAAAAATGACAGCTTTGCAATAAGGAGGGGACAGTCCTTTTTACAGATGAAGGGATTAACAACTCACTACAGTGCAGCAAAAATACGTACAACAACAACAAAATTCTTAGATTATGAATGCCCAAGGGAGAAAATATCTGAAGTAGTAAGAGGCTGAAGGAACAGTCCTACATTTTGTTTTCGGGAGGATAAAAACATTTAAAAAGAAGATAACAGCTTATAAAGGAAGCAGCTCCTTTCCTTGCTGGTAGATTTTGTTGTTCACAGAAATCATCCAAGGAACACAACAAAATCCACTGTAAGATAACTTGCCCTTGGCTGCGGCCTTGAGACAACATAGCTGTAGATCCTGTGGTCGGCTGTATTGACTTGCAACGGCCGAGATGGAGGGGGATTGAAGACGCTCGGGACACCCTCTTGTTCGTTCAGTCGGTCCTGTACAGCTGCCTATGATGCAAGAAAGCAAAGGAGCAATTTCAGACACTGAAGGATGGCAAAAAAAACTCTTTGCTGTGTTTCAGCAGTAGATATTAACGTCTCACAGTGCCAAAGCTCTAGATAAACACAGCTCATTACACCTCGCGGAAACATAAACACCCATTTCCATATTGAAAAAATCTTTTTCAAGGCCCTCTGCACATATACATCATGAGAACTTGACTACTGTGTCAACCAAGCTACTGTGTCAACCAACCAACCAGCCTTAAATTCTTCCCTCCCCCACCTCCTAGTTTAATTAAGGTATTTGGCAACAGCCAAAAACCTCATTTTTAAACAATACCTCTATGTTCCAGTTGTGCTGCTCCAACGTGTGACGACATTGGTCCATGGATTCTATGCCAGTCAAGTCCTAAAGAAGGAGATAAGAATGAGTGCCAGAGAAGTGCTACATTCTTACAGCTCCTTGCAGCACTTGAGCACAGAGAGGAGTTACTGCAATACAGTGTTTAGAAAGAAGCTCTGCTTAAGCTGTCTGCTCTTAGTTCAGAGCAGAACAGCTGGAGCTACTTTACCTGAGCCGACCCAAAAAACACACAGAGAAATGGCTGAATTCAAACAGACCTCTGCACTCTAGCAATCTTCAGTGCGAGGTCTGCAACTAGAATTGTGTTTAGATCAGTCAAGGCAACCATCCACGTGATACCACCTATGATTTCATTCACTGCAAGTAAGAACAGAGATTAAAAACAAAAGCAGCCAAGCACTGCTCAAGGTAGAGCCTTCCAGGTTCACAGAATATGCTGTAGCAAGAAGTCCAATCTAAACCAGGCAGCACCTTCAACAGGAAACATAACCCAAACCCACTCATAGACCTCAGTCTCCATGCTCTCAAATAAACATTTGGAACGGCAAATTTAACCCTCTACCACCAGAACTTCCGCACTAGAGAGAACATCAGACAGTATTTGTTATTTTGAGATGCCAAGTCAGCATCTCTTAAATGGAGACAAATCTTTGCCGACAGGAACATTCCTGTCACTGTGCCAAAGAAATACATCTCTCAGCACCGCTCATTGTCCGATCTTTCAGCAGACGTTTCAGGATTGCATATTGCATCCACCACCACAAAGCCTAAGCGCACACTTTTATGGGAAAGAATAAAGCCACAAATGGGCTGCTGCTAACCTTTTAGCAGCAGACATTTGAACCAGTCAGGGAAACTTATGTTCATCACAGGTGACACCATTAACAACACTAGCAACTTTGAAGGAAGCAGAACAAATGCTAGGCCTACTTTTATTTTGAAATACAAAGGAGTAAAATGAGAGGTTTTTTTTCCCCCTGCAATGAAAAACAGAAAGCCAAGAAAACAGCTGCATTTTCAGAAATGACTTAGCCTGGATAAAAGGTGGCAGAAGGTATGATAGGATCATTTGTCACATGCAATACAACTGATTCAATGAAACAATACGCCCATGATTTGCTGCCAAAATGATCCAAGAACCCTGCCAAAATATGCCAATTTATTCAGCAAGGTCATTTGTGACAAAGCAACTCCAGAGACAAGGCTTCTTGTTCTGACTTCATGGATTTCTCTCAAGACAGCTGCTAGGTCACAAATCTGTCCCTAGCTATGTGCTTTGTTGATAGAAGAGGAGGGTTCATCTCCCTCAGCTGCTCAGGGCCCGGAACTGCAAAATTTAAGTAGATGTATTCCTTGAGTCACACATGCACATGCCAGGGGGTTGCTATACATGAAGCCTGCTGCACTGCAGCTCTTATGTTAACTAACCTGCCCCAGAGCCTTGCCTGGTCTGCTGTCACTTCCACAGGCTCTTGTGCACAGGACTTGAAGCTCGGAGCCTTGCAGGAGCTCAGTGCAGAACTGAGCAAAGTTCAAAGCTCAGTGCAAAGGTTCCTGGGAACCTTTGCTCCCTGCACCTGCCACCCGACACAGCGCCGCTTTTCTGAGGGGACAGTTCATAATAAACACAGCACTAACTTGATATAAAGCCTTTTGGGCAGCCTAAATTACACCTTTTGCTTCAGTCCTTGTTAGCACTCCCATTCCATTTTGTCTGCCACCCCCACCCCAATTTCTTGCCTCATTTAAAAGATTGTCAGCCTGTCCTGACAAGTTTTGTCTGGCCATTTCAGGACACACCAAATCGGGATTTTAATTTCTGTACTGGACAAGGATGGTGCACCTAAGCCACTCCCACCACCCCAAATGTTCCCATGCTATTTCCACTCCCAAGTCACACCATGGACAGACACCTTATTCAAAATCTCAAGTGAAGATTCTGCTACTTTTAAGCTCTTCTTGTTTATTTCTTCCTTACGAAGTCTCTTCAAATTTCTACCCTCTCCCCAATCTACCAGCAGAAAACATCTTTGCTGTACTTTCAACACTACCTGTTGGGCAAGAATCATTGAGTCAATCTGCAGCACAGAACTGGACTCTTTAAAGCATCACTGAGGTTAATGCAGTGACTGTCACCATTTAATACACAGATCCAGTTTCTGCCCAATGAGGCATAAGTATTTATTTTTTTAAAAAAAAAGCAAGCCCGCAGCACATATTGCACTGGAACACTACTTCAAATGAATTACACAGAAGACATGAAGCTTACTGAACTTAGGTTTCGCTGCCAGAACACTTTCGCTTATCAGCAGTTTCATTATTAGCATTTTAGCTTATGCATCTTACAAGGTTCGCTTCACTGCGAAAAGTTCCATTTTTGTAGTCTGATTTTTTTTTGAACCCCAAACTCCTATGAAAAACCCTTAATTGTCCTCCTGAAAAAAAATTAAAAGGCATCTGTGATTTAATCATGGAGGCTTACATCTTTGAAATTCATGCACTGTAAGTCTTCTGACTACTGTTTCTCAGCACCCCATAAATTCTGTTGGTGTCTGCAACAATTCCGAAGCTCATTCACACCTTTGCCTCTAAAGATAAGAATTATTGCTAGGCACTATTAACAGGGCTTTGTGACTGAACGCTCTCTCCTTTTTAAATTATGCAAAATGCAGTAGCAATTTTAGGTCAGAAAGCAGCTGAAGTAACAGTGCTATGTAACTATCAACAAGCAAATACTGCGGAGATTCAGTGCTCATTAAAAGCAAGCCCATCTCATAGACATGGACTACACACTGGCCAACTTCACTGCTTTGACTGTCATTACACAGTGACAGGTACAGTTTTCATCAGATCTCACACACTTCTACAGTGGCACTTTTCAGCACAGTTAAATTTACACTTTCCTTAGCACTGATACAGTTGCTCCCGACAAAAGTAATAAAGCCACCCAGATAGAAACACTACAGTTCCCAGATGGTCTGAGACATTTTGCAAATAACTTGCAGTCAATATAAGGAGCAGCTTGAAGACAGTTCAACTGTCAGTTTAAATGATGCTTCCTGGTAAACACTGATACTGTTCATTATCACTCAAAAACCGCTTTACATCATTATCTCTGCACCTTCAGTTACTACTTCACCTTAGCCACAGAAAGGTTAGAAAATTGAAGGAACATATCATTCCCACCTTCCAGCCTGCAGCATTTCTTGGGAATCTTGGGACCATTCTACCAACTGCATTATTCAAACACAAGATAAATGACTATATTCCTAACTCCCTTTAAGGTTAATGGAATGAACAACATCTTCAACCTGATCACTAACTACCAGCTTCCTGCTCTCTCTCAGTCACTAGTCACACACCTCCGAGCACATCTTGCACTGATTCAGTAAATAAAAAGACAAAGCTTATTGTACAGAAAAAATAAAACTAATTCCAGTGAACTAGCATGCTCCAAAATGTAAGCCTCAAAATAAATGTGGTTCTAAACTGAACACAATGGATAACAATCTTCAGAAAATAATATTAAGCACACGAGGCAGAAATACTCAGCATTGCCTTCTCTAAATACCATTCTTACAAAGTGAAGCCTCTTCCCAAAACATATTGGAACTAGTTTTAAAATTCATTTTATTGCTCACCTTTGCAACATTGCTTAGAATGCTGAAGGCTTCTTAATATTGAAGTAGTGAAAAGTGCAATTTCCCATTTTAAAGGCCAAAGACACACCCTTGAGTGGGCAAAGTTTGTAGACTGGACTTACACAAGTGCTCCCTCCCCAGATATGAGCATATGTTGAAACACAGCATAAAAGATGCAAATCCACACAATTACAACTGCCACTGTTCTTAATTCCAAGCCCACTGCCAAATACCAGAGAATCATGTTTCCAAGGGTAAAGAACATCTGACTTCTGGAAGGGAAGGTGTGTGCAAACAAAAACCCCCACACTTTACCATCAGAGTTTCTCTTAAGAGTGTTACAGCAATGCGTTTTGATCGATCCGCAAAGCGCTACACAGAAAAGCTGCTTGGAGTGTCCTATTTCTTCCAACCTCTTTCAACTAGAGACGTTTTCTGCCTTGAGCATTCTGTTTCTTTTCAAGATGAATGAGAAATGGTATGAGAAGTGCTAACTTTCCACCCCTTTGCAAACAACCCTGCATTGCTTTAGATTAGCATACCCTAACTACGGTAGATACCATCCCAAATATAACGGGCACAGATCAATAATGAGATCATTCAAAAGCCTCTTTGCTCTTTCTTCTGTCTCTCACACGGAATCACATCTCCACAGCTTCAAGCTATTTGCATCCAGTTTCTCCCCACAGATGTCTGGCAGCCAAACCTTGACAGATGAAAAATTCAAATGCTTCTACTCATTTATATTAGACAATGCCTCGGCAGTAAATGGGAGGTTGAAAGTATGCAGGAGTGCTTTTTGTTGCTTTTATTCCATATTTATCCCAATTATCTCTCCATATTGGTATGTCACACACCCCACATTAACCACCAGCGTGGTAGGTAACAGTCCTATGTCAGCCTGTTGTGAAGCAAAAGAGCTACCACATTTAGAGTTTTGCTAGCGGAGCTGTTTATGTGAGCACTCCCAAACACGTCAAGAAAAGACCAGCAGGATTAATGCTCAGCATGTATTTAAACTGCACAGTAGCTTACCTAGCTTGGGCCAGGAACAGGACAACAGCTGTTTATACCTCTACCTGAGAGGCAGCCATTTCCAGCAGAGGTAGAATAAACATTCAAGATGATGATGATGGTATCTTCAACCAGAATAGATATTTGCTGGGTAAATGCCAATCTACAGCTCTAGCTCCATCTTTTTCCGCTTCATTCTCTATTTAACTGAAATGCTACTGAGGATTTTTTGCTACTGTTTCTCTCATCTTAGTTATCTATACTTTTCTTTCTTTCTTAATCTATTTTCCTGCATTATTTACATTTTAGTGGTATGCCTTCTGTGCAAATTATGCTTTAAAATTGCAGAATAATGCAGAAATTTATTATCATTACATACTGCAATGAAAGCAGAAAACAACCCTCAAAAACATGCAAAAAGTGTCCCCTGTGAGAAGGGTGCGAATCCATGAACCCTTTGCAATTTCCTAACTGTAAGCATGCTCTGCAACAGCAGCAATGTACAAATCTAGCAAGATATAAGCCTTCTCCAAACACCACAAGCTATTCAAAAGAATCCAGAGTTGCTCAGATAGAAGGGTTTTTGTTTCCCTAGCTAGGTGAACTGATTTACTTGCCTGTTCCAGTGCAGCAAGCAGAAGCACGTGCCCGAGCACCTTCCAGAGCGCTGTAAAGGTAACACAGGAGGTGGACGCCACCAATGAGGTCTCTCCATAGCACAGCCTCACTGAAAAGCTAGTTCCTGGCTATTCTAGGCTATACATGAATGAGGGATTCCTGGTATTGAGGCCTTTGACATCACATCTTTCATACCAGGCTCTGCTCAGCTGCAAAACTTCTTCCTTTCTTTAAAGAGCTTCTCCCTCATCCCCCTCCTTCCATTTCAAAACAGAGCTCACAAGAAAACTGGACCAAAGCACACATCTCCCCTCTGAATCCTTCTCCGCTCCAAAGCTTTCAGCACCTTAGACTGCTACTCACAGCAGCACCAGGTAGTGAGGAAATGGACACAATTCCGTACAGTTCCACTGCTGCCCACAGGGCTTTGAAAATAGCAGCTGTGAACCTGATGAGTGCAGCTGGCCCTATCTGTCCAGACAGGGCAGATGATCAAGTATTGTGACACCCCACGCTGAAGAACACAGGCCTCAAGGTTGATTTTTGCATGTATATTAACCACACTAAGTGGCACAAGTCAGTCTCTCAAACCTCACACACTTCCCAGGGAAACAGTGGCACCTGGAAAATAATTGCTAGTGCTCTTCATGAACATTTCACTGTAAATTAAGGCTGCCCAATCAGCTTAAATTGCAGTATGGGTTTAGATGCCGTACCAGCAAAAGGTTAACCACACAGAAACACTGTAGCACTCGTTATTTCAGGAGGTTGTGGAATCTCCTTGTTCAGAGGTGTCAAACGCAAAGACTAGGCAAATAGGTATCTGGAATGACCAGGAATACCTGCTCCTATCTCAGCAGCAGGAAGCAGCACTAGATGCTCCTGACATCCTTTAAAGCTCTATAACTCTATAGTTAAGTTGTACTGTAGAAAGGACACAAGGGGGGGGGGGGGAAAAAAAAAAAAAAAAAAAAAAAAAGCAGACCACATGCCTCACATGAGCATGAGAGAATAAAATTAGACAAAACACTCTTGAAAGATACATTTGTTGGAGGCAAAATAAAAAAAAATAAAAAAAAAATCAAGAAACTTCATGCAATGTCCTGCAATCTGGAAACAAACACAGAACACCTGACTGCAGTTTTCATATGTCAGCAACAGTTTTAATTACCTTCTACTCAGCAGCTCAAAGTATTTCAACCCTGACTGCAACACAGTATTCCCTCTATCAAAAAAAACAAAACAAAACAAAAAAAAAACACGATTGTGCTGGGGGTTATTTGGCTGCTGCACAGGCCCATGGACTTGGCAAAACACAGCTTAAGTCACCCAGCCTGTGTTATGCAGCAGATAGTGAGATTAGGTCATCCCAAGCTCCACTGGCCTTCCCCCAATAGCTATTACCCAACCCCAAGCGTCAGGAACAGTTTAGTGAGAAACTGCTTTCTACAGACACCCCCGGTCGCTCTGCTCGCACAACAAGCAGGGCTTCCCATTAACAGCAACAGGGGATTTTTATTTATTTATTTATTTTTACAGACTAACTACAATGGCTGGAACAGACCGAGAAGTTTCCCCCCTGCGGAGGGGATGGGACTTATTCACCAGGAACTTCCTGCCTGCCGAGCTAGCCATGAGAGGATCCATTCCTAGTGGAGCGCCAGGAGCAGACTCCTAGGCGCTGCCCGCGGTGCTCCCCGCGCCGCACCTGGAACTGCAGCAGCTTCTCGGTCTGCTCCGCCGTCAGCTCCCGCTCCTCAGGCGCCGCCATTTTCCTGCCGCCTCTGACCCGCCGCTCCGTCACTCTCCGGAACTGACGTCGCCAGCGGCACTTCCGCTCAGGGCACGCGCGCGTACGCAGACCGGCAACCCAACAGCTGCTCCTCGGCCGCAGTCGGAAATACTCGCTGTCTTCCGGAGATGGCCGAAATGCTCTCGGAGTTCTCCGGAAATGCCCGAACGCCCTCCGAGACGCTCGCAGGCCCAAGCTGCTCGAGGCTCTCGATTGGCGCACGGAGAGTTCCGAATTGTGCCGAAACCTGCTCGGGCATGTCCGGAGATGGCCGACGGCGAGGGCCGCTGAGGGCCGCCTCTGTGGCCGTGCGGGCCGCGCTCGCCCGGGGCTGGG